CTGACACGTGAATTGTTCTTCATGCGTGCGATGCTGCAGACCACGGATATAAGCGAACGATTGTAGTTTGCAGGGATACCGTGTTAGTTAATCATGTGTTAATGATGCTAACAGTGTTTTCGGCAAAGTTGTCGCAGGAGGTTTGGATAAATTTAGGCAGGAACTTCAAAATCTCCTTGGATGATAAGAGTCCATGACATTGAAATAAACAACAACACTCGAAAGGGATTGTTAGCTTTTCATGCGCTAACGGGAAGTGACACGACGAGTCAGTTTGCAGGAATTTCTAAAAACGCTGCATGGAAAGTATTCATTGAAGATCCAGATCGCATTCATGGGTTGGAACAGAATCTACCACTATCACCTAGATTAATTGCTATCAGTGGAAGCATTTATATGTAAACTGTATGATCTAACGACAACATTGGTAGTCATACAGGAGATTCGCTTGTCGAAGTTCTTCCAATGCAAGACGAATATTGACTATTTGCCACTAATAAAAGACGCACTGATACTACATTGTCATCGAGCCCACTATCAGAGCCTCATTTGGAACCAGTGTGTAGATAGTACTCAGAGCATTCCTTCGGCATTTGACTGCGGTTGGTATATGCAGGATGGCATTCTGAAACCACGGCTCATGACACTGAATCCATTTCGGGCCAATACTATTGCAATAAAGACATGTGGCTGTAGTAAGGACGGACCTTGTTGCCGTACACGTAGCTGTACATGTACCAAAAACAATATGTGCTGCACCGGTGCGTGCAGATGCAACATGGCCTGCATGAACTCATACAACAATGTTCTTGGGGTGTGACTGTTTTAAAACTACATATTCTGACAATTCTGGTATGCTTATATTTGTTTTTATGTTGGCTTAGACTGTTGTATAGTAATGGAGTAACATACCACCATGTTGAAATCCAAGATGGCCGCCATGCTATGCTTTTCTAAGTGTCATAATTCTGTTCTCCATTATCGAAAATGTGGGTTTAGACATCTAAATAATGTCTCTACGACGTCTAGTTATGGAGTGGAGAAGTGGAGTCTAGTTATTCAAAATAAACAAATTTCACCGGTGGCGATATTGAAATCCAATATGGCCGCCATCCTATGTTTCTCTAAGTGTGATAATTGGGTTCTCCACTATCGAAAATGTGGGTATAGCCACCAACATTATGTCTCTACGACGTCTGGGAGTCCAGTTATTTCAGAAAATCCATTTTCGCTGGCGGTCATTTTGGATTTCAAGATGGCCGCCACAATACGCAAAAGTCAGCCTGGAAACATACCCAGTGTTTACTCGTTACCACATAACTCATTATTCATTACTCGTTACCACATACCTCATTACTCATTACTCATTACTCGTTACCACATACCTTATTACTCATTACTCGTTACCACATACCTCATTACTCATTACTCGTTACCTGTGACCACATACCTCATTACTCGTTACCTGTGACCACATACCTGATTAATCATTACTCATTACCACATACCTCATTACTCATTACTTGTTACCTGTGACCACATACTGCTGACAGTTAGAAGGTTAGTACTCATCTGATTATTATAGAAACAAACAACTGAGTAAGTCTAAGCACACGAGTCAAGCAGTCTACACACACGAATTAGTGCCACCTATCTCCTGTAAGCACAGACAGTCACAGAGCTACAGAGTGTGAGTACACTACACTCGATGATTGTTACTGTTAGCGCTAGAAAGCAGTTTAATCACACGATAAACACTTTCAACATCAGGCAACATTCAACATTTAACAACGTTACTGGCTCGCACACAGTCTCGTCTTACAACCTTTTAGAATATTCAGTACACAACCGCACTTAGAAAACAGCCTAAGAGCATTACTGGCCATTATTAAAAAAAAATTAATCTAAAAAAAAAACTTTTACATTTTAATCTCATATGGCTAATATAATGTAATGCAACAGTGAATCGACATCTGCTATGTAATGGCGCACTGAAGAACGGTAATGAACGTGTACTCGTACACACACACACGCACGCTGCTACAGTAAGAAGCGGCTACAGGCGGTAACAATAGCACGAGGACAACAGCAACAGTCTACATACATGTACAAGCCCTTGCACGCATTGTCATCTATGTCCCACAACCGAGCTCTAGACCGCGACCGCCTCATCCGCCTGTCAAAACATCGTCTGCACTGTCATGAGCCACGTTACACCAGACATGCGTGCATGCACATGCTACTGGTGACAGCACGAACACATCTACGCAATGCACGAGTGATATATCGTACAAATATGTCCACGGTGATATGTTCGTGGCGAATGATACTTCTACCATGCCCGTGACTGCACCTACATTGCTATAGACATAGTGTATTCATTTATTCATTAATTCATTTATGCATTTATTTGCTTGCTCACTTTGTTCACCGAATCATTTTTCTACTCGTTCCTAATTCCGTATTATCCTAATACAGTTCAAGAACTCTTATTTACCCTTTATTAAAGTTTTGATAGATATATAGAGCTATAGTGCGTGCGTGCGTGCGTGCGTGCATGCGTGCGTGCGTGCATGTGAGGGAGAGAAGGACAGAGCCAGAAACAAAGATATACATACATACAGACATACAGACAGACAGACAGACAGACAGACAGACATAGGTAGATAGATAAGAGAGTCGTGAGTAGTGAGTAGTGTAGAGTAAGTGAGTGAGTGAGTAGAAAAGAGAGAGTGGGTGCATGTGTATGTGTATGTGTGTGGGGGAGAGAGAGAGAGAGAGAGAGAGAGAGAGAGAGAGAGAGAGAGAGAGGGTGAGGGAGAGAGAGAGAGAGAGACAACATTGTGTACTACGAGTTTGACAGCAGAGTTTATGCACTCCCACATTGTAGATGCTGCCTCACAAGCTCTACGTACAGTGTGGGACACACCCTCCTCACACTCACATGTTCTGGTACTTGGATGACTCACAGTCGTTGTCAAGGAGACCATTTGTGTTGGCACTTTTAACCATCTGAACGAGAATAGGTGTGAGTTCTCCTTCCAAAGCCAGGAAGCCCTGCGGAAAGACACCAAAACCATTGAGGATACAAAGTCGGATGCCAGCGTGCCCACGAGGATTCTGTTACCCGTCAGATTTCACATTGCCCATCTTATTTCCGCCCTGTTAAGGATACCGTTAGGGTTGGGAAGTGATTTTCGGTCAAAATTTTATCGTATTTGATAGATCGCACCCATGGGTAGCTACATATACGTAGAAATTATGTATGTAGCCTCCCAAACAGTTCCAAATCCCCGCATTAGTCAATTCTTAACACAGGCGTTCAATCATGGAAAATTTAGAAAAGTACTAATATCTCCATTGTTAGAAATGCTGAAGTTGCCGATTTTTCATGATCAAACGCTATTTCTTGAAACTCACAACTTCAATTCCAAATATTTTTGTTACGTTTCAATGCTATAAACATATGAAAGGAAAAAACGATCCCTGAATTTTTTTTTAAATATTATATTTTATAAGTTATGGCTCTTTGTTTACGAAATTGTTGCGTTTTGAAAATCACTACAAATTTTCGTACATCTTTTCAACTTATATCCTAAATTAAACCATTTAAAAAAATTCCAGGGACCCTTTTTTAGTTCATATTATGAACAACTTATGGTTAAAAGTTTAGGTCCCAACTCTGCTGTTTCTGAGAAATAACCAAAAAGCATTTTTTGTATAAATTCACAATTTTTGTCGTCACTTAATTAGCGATGAATTAGCCATAGATGAAGCGTAGAGAGACATCTCTCTTATGTAATGGATATGAGTTTGATTGAATTTGACGAGCAGTTATTTTGCAATGCCCTTTACAGTGTTACCCGTTCCTAACCCTAACAGTATCCTTAAGAAGATGAGATGACCTGCAGTACTGTTGTCTGGCACAACCTTTGTCCAGCATGGCCTCCATCGTGCTCCATCTCTGTCCTGCGTCATCTCACTCACATCTCATTTCTGTTTCATCTCAATGCTGTCATGTCACCTCTGGCTTATGTTCTTCCTATCTTGTGTAACTGCCAATGCATGTTGTCTCTGTCTGGTGTCAACTCTGCCCTGTGCCATCTCGGCCACAATTCACCTTTGTCGTGCCAACTTTATTTCGTGTCTTGTGTCACTAAGTATCCTGTATCACCCCCTTTCAGTGTGAGACGAATAATCTGTGTCACCTCATCTTTCCGTATAATTCGTGCCTCGTAAGTCTAACGTACGCACCTTGGCAAAGGCTGCAGCCGTCATCTGTACCCTGCCTTCGTCAGAGGCGTAAATCTTGAGATCATGTCGGTATGTGCTGTGCAGCCTCAGTAACCCACAGCCTGGATTATCGGCCTGACCGCCTGGGTACACAAACCTACCAACACAGCCTGATTAGTATGAATAAAAAGGTACAAGCACTTCGCGAAAACAGGAACCTACCAACTGAGTGGCACTGGCGCTCATAAGTGTAACCAAACTAACTGTGCCAGAGCTAAAAGTGACATCTGAGAGTAAGCTTCTATTAACACCCACATCACTGGATACCATGTTATTTCTCCAGATCATCTTTAAATAGCATTCACAATACCTATCGAAATATTATTCTTATAGAGGTATAATTATCGTTACTGATAGGGGTTTAATGTACTCGATTACCTGCGCGTGTGTAATGTGATACTTACTGCAAACTACTACAGAGAATATTGTTATTATTGTATTATTACTTATGTAAGATAGTGCTAAGAATGAAATCACGTTCAAAACTAAAATGTTATTTTTAAATAAGTACTAAGTAGCTGTGTCTGCGTATGTGTGACGAGACGTTGTGCGTATGGGGGGAGGCATAGCAACCGTTGTTAGGTGGCCACAAACACGATCACCACACGTACACCTCACGGTTCCTCACGAGATCAAAATTCGAAATTTAGATTGTCTCTCAACTCTATCGGGGCACGAATGATTTAGAAACCGTCCGTTGATAAATATTGGCGCCACTATAACTTTGAAAGTTGTCTTAACAGGTCCCAACAATAGCGCCATTTTAGCGGTAAATTGATCGAATTCAGCTCGTGCAAGATTACGATTTACAGCAATACGCTAGCAAATATATGTAAACGAATATCAGGACCACGAAGGTGAGTGATTAGTGGTCATAATAAGCTGAAGAACGTATACACTTGCTTCTTTATTGGTGGCAAATTTTGATGAGAAAAATCGGTTAAAAATGCGGGATCGCTTCTTTATTGGTGGCAAATTTTGATGAGAAAAATCGGTTAAAAATGCGGGAATCGGGTGTCTCACCCTTGTGTTATTATCTACTCTTGGTGCTATCCAATAAGACCACCTTCAGCTGCAATTCTCCTGCTGCACACATGTCGATGTAATGACAAACGTTAAGACACCACCTCTCCATCCTACCTGAAGGCCTTGCCCAGCTCCTCAGCCTGTATCCTGCCTGCAGGCGTCAATTCGCCGCCCCACTTTAAGATGAGGATCAGCGAGGGGCTGCCGGACTGATCGTCTTCGGAGCTCGACTGCTTGTCCTTGCGCGGCCGGCCCGTGGGAAGGTACTTCAGCTGCACCTTGCGATTGATGCCGGAGAAATGACCGTACCTGCGAGGACGTGTAATTAAGAGTTAGCTCGTATGCAGACGAATGCCGTAGCTACACACAGGAATGCCGTAGGTATGCCCAGGTACGCCTCAGGTACGCGCAGGTATGCCATAGGTACGCGCAGGTACGTGCAGGTACGCGCAGGTACGCGCAGGTACGCGCAGGTACGCCATAGGTACGTGCAGGTACGCCTCAGGTACGTGCAGGTATGCCCAAAGGCGTCGGAAGCAATAAAATAGTGCCGCGGCTTTGGTGATAGCTAGGGCGAGCCCCGGGGAGGCAAAGCCACCCTAGGGGGGGGGGGTCTGGGGGCATGCCCTCCCCCGTGAAAATTTTGAAATCTACAAGGCAAATGGTGGGCTCTGGTGCATTCTGAGCATTGTGATTTAGCACAAAAAAGTGTTTCACTGTAATTTTAGAAAAATACATGATGATTTGAAAGATTTGTTAGACCCCCTCAGATGCGTTTTCTGCGCGAGCAGGGGGGGGGGTCCAGGGGGCCCGGACCCGCCCCTGTACACGCCCCTGACCTGACCTCATCTGACCCTGGTCTCTGCTTATAGGGGCCTAGATTACACGTATATACATGATATATGTACCGGCCAAAAGACGGTATAAATTATTGAAAGATTTTGGTTACGGAAAATTTATGGCCTGAAAAAAGTGCCGCGGCAGTTCCGACGCCCTTGCACGC